GAGCTAATAAGCTGTCGTTAGTGTGCATACTGCGCATCCTCCTCTTCCTGGGGTTTCTCTTCCCCGTCTAGAAGCAGAATGAACACATTTTTCTTAAGAGGCATTTCGGTCCTGAAGCAGTCAGCCCTGTGAACATTTAACTTCATCTCCCCCATCATTTCAGAAAAGCACTTCGTGGCTCTGGGCCCAGGTCTGACCCCTGCAGATCCCATTTGCAGGGACTGTGAATCACCACCAGTAAATACTTTTCTCCTGTGGCTTCCAAGTCTGGAAGTGGTTGGGCAACTGTGGTTTATCAGACTTGTGCAAATTAAATTCCCCCAAAGATAAATTTCATTAATGCAGTCAAAAGATGATTTGCGTTCCTGACAACATATACTAGATTCCAAGAACAAAAAAATAATCTATATTCACATAGGGTGCTTGTTAAAAATAAAATGAAGACTGTGCTAACTGACACATTTTTCTCAATATCCACGTCTATTAACTATCCACTACCAAAGTGATTCTCATGAGAGGTGAGAGGGAAGGAAGGGAAAGAGGGGAATTATGTAATTATATTTTAATTAAAATTTATTTTAAAATAGTGCTCATGCCTGCTGCATGCTCTGGGTGAAATATGCCAGCTTGTTTCTTTTCAATTAAATTGGCTTGTAATCTCTAACTCCTGAATTAACTTAATCAACAAAGGCTCTGTGTTTTTTGTGTTATTAAAATAGTGTAGGGCAGAGTTAGTGTCTAAAACTCAAATGCCTTTGGAATGCAGACAATTACTGCAAGTGCATTGAGCTAAAATGGCATTAACACATTGGAAATTCCAGCCCCATTGGAAGTGTCCCAATATCGTTTAAACACACACACACACACACACACACACACACACGCACGCTTAAACACACACACACACACACACACACACACACACACACACACACACACACGCTCTGGCTAAAGTAAAGAAAGGATGTATCAGTTTAGACTACACTGAACAGTGGCCAGCCTGTGGCCTAGACTTTAAATCAGCCTGTTACATCTAATTTGTAGGGCATGAATTCAACCTTCAAATGTGGTGTGTGTGTGTGTGTGTGTGTGTGTGTGTGTGTGTGTGTGTGTGTGTAGCAGAACAGCAGGGACTTCCTTGAATCTCCCTGATTCTGGTATCCTCTCTGCCTGTGCGGTTAAAATTAATCACCATCAGATCTCACATACGTTTTTATCATAAAATATATTGGCATCCAGGCAAGTCCTTTCCCACTGCATTCATGGTATGTGTTCCCATATGGCAGGTGCATTTGGGACCACTTGTAGACCAAGCCACACTCACGGAAATGCAGTGTGAGGAACAAACGCTCCCAGCTGTGGAACATCAGCTAACCTGGTGGCCTATTTCAGTAACAGTGATTGGCCCTGATGGAGAGGGACAGAACACCTTCAGCACTGCTATAGATTCAGTCACAGCGTCGTCAGTCATCCTGGCTGCTGTGGGCCTTTCCTTCAGTGTCTGAGAGCAGCAGGCAAGCTTGAACTTACCGATTTTGTGTGAAAGGTGCTATCAGCTGAGGGACGCTTTTCATATTTTTTCACTTGCTTTTCAACCATCTCTCTGTCCTCAGTGCACACAGAGAAATTCTATGCTGAGGCTGAGTTAGGATATGCCAAGTTCAACCTGGAGAACAACCTAGTTAAAAAGCCATACGTTGTATCATATGCTCTGAGTGTTTAGTGACCCGCTGATGGCAGTCAGTACAAGCTGTTCCCAAATACCCCCAATTTCTCATAGGCATTACAAGAAAAACAAACCCTGACATTGAAGAAGCAGGTTCTAGAAATGGGCACTGATGTAGCCCGAGGATGCTGTAGGATGCCTTCTTGAGATGAGGAGCCATTTTCATAACCAGAAAGGAAATCACATAAGATTACTCAGTTGCTCCAGTTAGGTGTGATGCTTTGTCATGGATTTGACCTTCAGTTTGGGATTGGCTGAGGCTCAGTTGCTTGGTTACTATGGTTTTCTTTGGTTTAGGTTACAATCTGCCCATAATTAGAGTTAGGGTGTAGTTCATTATACAGAGACCGCCTGGGGTCAGATTTCATTGCTCATATAAGCTGGGTTAGGGCAAACCTATTTCAGTTTTATAACAGAGTAATGAGGCATGGGCTCGTAGCTAGCTTCACAGGTTCACAGGAGAAGAATATTTCTAGAGTCCTTTGCAGCTAATAAATGGCAACGAGACTAGGTTCTGGTCAGCAAGATGTAAAATAAGGCATAAGAAATGTCCTAAAACAGAGGTCTTCAATCTGTGCATATCAGATATTGACATTAGGATTCATAACAACTGTAATGTAGCAACATTACAGTTATGAAGTAGCAATGAAATAATTTAACAGTTGGGGTCACCAGAACACGAGGAACTATATTAAAGGGTCACAGCATTAGGAAGGTTGAGAACCACTTTCCTAAAAGAATGATGTTCTACTTTTGTTTCTTCCTTCCCTCTGCTGTTTGGAATTCGTGTGGTGATGGCAATGTCCAAGACAACAGTTTTGTGCTGTACAATGATGGAGCAAAGAGATGGGAGGAGCTATGTGCCTAGCCTTGCTGATGGTTCTCCTTCTCTGGCCATTTAGACGGGGACTAAGGAAGCTCGTATCTTGTTATGCTAACAGTAATGAGGGTGAGGTGGGCAGTCCCCATCACTCCCAAGGGAGCCATTTCCAGTTAACACAGAGTTGTTGGAGCAGGTGAGTTCCACTCAAGTTCTCCCATCATCTCCCACCTCTCATCAACGTCTCCACAGGCTGTTGTCTTAACTGTCTCACCACTTTACCAGGGCCTAACTGTGTTCTGCCTATTGTGCCTGAGCCCCAGGTGGGAGGCTGGGACTAGAAATATCCCTTTGTAGTCACTTTTCTTGTTGATAATGCAAAGCAAAACATTGAAGTTCTAGATACCCCATCAACTCCTTAACTGAAGTAATTTAAAATGCAATTTTTGTTTATTTGAGATAGGGTGTCCTACAACCCAGGCTAATCTCAAACTTCCTATGTAGCCCAGGCTGGCTTGAACTCCTGATTCACCTGCATCCACCTTCCAAGTGCTAGAATTACAAGAATGTGCTGCCATGTCCAGATTATGTGGTGCTGGGAATCAAGTTTGAGGACCAGTGTGTACCAGGCAGGCACTCTACCAACTGAGATATATCACCAGCCTGGGATGCATCTTTGAATTCTGAACTATTCAATTGTCTAGGTCTTTTCACTCTCATCTTTAGATTTTATGTTCTTAGTGCTGAAGAGATGGCTCATCGGTTAAGATCACAGGCTACTCTTTCAGAGTACTGGGGTTTGATTCCTAGCACCCACATGGCAGCGCACAATAATCTGTAACTCCATTTCCAGGAGATCTGATCTCCTCTTTTGGCTTCTGTGGGAACCAGGGATACACACAATACCCAGACATACATGCAAACAAAACACCTATACACATAAAATAAAATAATTACAAAGAAATAGAATTAGATTTTATGTTCTTCAGAGAAATGGTCCCCGTAGAGCAATGGGGTAGTCTTTATAACAGGGAGGGGAGGCAAACTCAGGCCCATGGACACCCTGCTAAGTTTGAATCAGTCATGATTCTGATAGGCAAGTAAAAAATCCTTGGTTAAAATACCACCTAAAATTGATTGCTGGGTGGACTATAAGAAGGAATGAGATCTGTCATGGTGATTTAGCTTATATGAGGTTCAATTTATATATACATCTACATAGTTTTATTTTATTTAAAAATTTAACTTTATTATTTGTGAGTGTGTGCACTCATGCACACCTGTGTATACCCAAGGCTTGAACTCAAGTCCCCAGATTTGGTGGCAAGAACCTTTATGTACTAAGCCATCTCATTCACTCTAAAGTTTTCTTTTTAAAGCTTAACTTTCTGTGCTTTCAAAGAGATGTTGTTAATCTTTAATCCTCAAGGAACGGACCAAATGAGAAGAAAGCAAAGATGTAGTTGGTGAACTGAAACAGTGTTTTATTGCAATCACAAAGCACCAACTCACCAAGGCATGGACAAACATCGCTCAGTAAATGTCTCTTTGAACAGAGATGTAGCAAGTCTACTTTTTCAAATTCTGAAAGACAAGTACTCAAACCAGGGACCAAACACAGCAGAGGACAATTAAAAAAATATTACAGAATCATGGAGGAATATATATGCATATATAAAAATATT